ACAACGATAAGGTGCCGTGTTGATAGATGTTTCGGCTCGAATCAAGTTCCTTAGCTGAAGCGGGTTTTCAGATGTCAAACACGTCTAGCGAGCTGGTTTTCAGCATGTCTCGAATAAGATGTGCGGGCGGCTTCAATTCTCGTTTCGTTCGTTCGTTTGTCCGACCATCCATCGATGACCGTCCGGCTTGGCTTCGTCGCCGCTCCACTGCTACTGTTCTGCTTAATCACATCAGCAAGGTGATCTTTTGAAGTCAAAGTACTAGTCACCTATGCATTTTCCTGCCCTAAGGTTGGATTTCTTCCAAAAATTCCTCTATTTTCCCCTATCTATCCGCCCAACTTGTTTCTATGATAGTTCGCGATACTGCTATCTATACTAATCATCTTGTGCATAATTTACTGCCCAAGTATGGATTGACCCTACACGTTTCTGATAGCAGCGCCAAAGTTTTATAAAGAGGGACTCTGGATATTAATGCCGATAAGTTCTCAGAGCCCTTAGCGCTTCCAAATTCACTATCTCAGCTTTCCATTTTTATGCAGTAAGTTGCTGGACCTCGATTGACTGTCTATTGACACAGAGGATAAAAGAATAAAGAATAGTCGTTGTCAGTCCCTGTTGAAATGGCACACATTCTACTTCCATTTGAAACACATGGCTTATTGAACGCGACTTGGGCTATACAAAGACTTGTGGGTGTCAGATAAATTACAAGTCACTATTCTCAGCCTCCAAGACGACAGTCGTACCAGTCTATCGTCCCCGGAGGTAAGAGGCTTCTTCGGCCTGGACGGGACCCTATGCGAAATACACTACATCCGTGAAATCCCTGAACCTTTGATGCTCTCTCTCTCGTTCCAGTAAGGTGGTTAGGTGAATTGTTTATTAGAAATTTCTACCCTTAGGCTGGTTTTCCGACCAGAATGTCGTTCACAGACGCCTGGATCTGGCTTAAAGGCTCTCTAGAAGCCTTACCGATATCAGCGGCAGCTAGAGAGAACTGTCCCAAACATATAGTCCCGGAGGAGTTGTGTAGATAGAGTTCATTCTTATTCAGTACCGTTACGGTCCTCAAAAGTAGCAGAGCACGTGGTACATCCGAGAATGTTTGATACCAGTAAAGAAATCACCAAAAACAGCATCGAATGTACTGCTAGCATGGGGATACTAATCTCATCAAATACTGTAGTGCCATATTCAACAGGCTGATTCGGCTCTGAAGGCGGATGTCTTGATGTCAGGGCTGTCTGTGAAAGCAATTTTACTCATGTGTCCCTTGACCCTTTGCTATCTCAAGCATCTGTGCCCAAAGTTCTCCAGCGCATATTTACTATCTCCTCAGGCCAGATAAGCACTCTGTTCCTGTGCAGGGAGAAGAGTTCCATGTGCAAGTAAGAATCGTGGCGCACCCCTATTGATCTGTCTCGTGCTTTTTGCCATCTGATCCCGGCTATAGGGGGATCTGAAGGAATTCAATTCGATTTGGGGTTTATTAGGCTGCCTTTGAGGTGTTTCTATAGCCAAACTAGCCTTTGCTGAGCTTCAAAGGTTCAAACTAGCTACCTAACATAACTCTTTTGCTGAGCTTCAAGGTTCAAACTAGCTACCTAACATAACTTGAGGTGTTTCAACAACTTTCAGTTTCAAATGACCTTTCCTGTCTAGCCTGATTGCTGACCAATTAATCGGTGATGCCTTAACTTCATCGGACTGTTCTACAATAAATGGAGGCAGCATGTACTTGAACGAAAGTAAAGTAACTGAGAAGCTCTTTCGCTGTTGAAACACTGAGCAATTTAGTCGTGATTGCTGGTGAAGCCGTAAACACCCATAGATTTTCGAATCGACTGGCTTTATCCAGTTTTCTTCGATTGAACTCATTCAGAAACGGTTCATCCATCATTCTCTCTTGAACTTTTTCGATTGATTCGACGTTTCTTGCCTTTTTCCTAAGGTGCATCATCGTTTCACTCTGATAACAAAAATCTATGCTAGACTGAGACATTTTCTTAATTTGTTGGGCTTTATTATGAACAAGCAAATGCTGGCTTGAACTGTGTAGGGGATAATGAAACGGAGCAGTATATGTCACTTTACTTTCACATCAACATTTTTCAATTCGAAAACAACACTTTTCAAATTGAGTTATATCCTTTTTTCCGATCAATTTCAACGTTCTGCACACCTCTTTGCCTTTCCACGTACACCCATTACATCACAACAGCGCATTTTGCAAAACTTTTGCAGAGTACAACTCCCCCCCCCCCTCCCTCCTTCCAGCTCTGCTATTTCGGTACGACTCCCCTCCCTTCCGACAAGGGCCCTGTGCCTCTTCCTCACGTCATTACCGCGCCCTTGGCGGAAGTAGCTCGCTTCAGTGGACTATGGGAGTGAGAACATTAAGCAAGAAACGATTCTAATTCCTAGGTGTTCAGAGCCTTTAGGTCCGGAGCTTTTCGCAGCGTTTTTTGTCGCGGAATGTCATGATTATTTGAGTTGAAAATTGTTGTCCTGGTACATCTTGGGAGCGTTTGATCTGTTTTTTCTCAGGGAATGTGTATTAGCCCCTGTGACGCAGCGATCAAGCGTTCTCGCGCCAAACGTTCGTGATACGCCTCTTCAGAGTAACACAACTTGCTCGGAAACAGACTTCTAGTCGTTCTTGATCGGTGTTCTAGCCGGTCACTAGCCTGGCGATGGTTTCGAACGAATACCATACTGCTGTGGATTGGATGCATTGGAAAGCCCGTGAAGTCCATACGCCAGATTTCAGTCGTCCAAAGGACAACTGCTGCAATTCAATCTGGTGATCGCTTGGTCCTTGCAGTGTGTGAGGGGGTCCGCAGCTGCAGCAGCATGCTGTCTCTGGTCAAAAGTGAACAGGAACGAGGCTGGAGGGTAGTGGTGCCCTGAGCTGCACCGTTAGCCGCGAGCCTGACCATAGCCGAAACCGCTACTTGTCTGCGCCCTCTGATCCTGCTCGTTCTCACTGCCGAGAGCGTCGTTTGATGTGAGTCTTTGGTACCTTCGGAAGCGCTGCACCTTGTGGATGGCGCGAGCGAAGTATGGAAACGGCACATGGGGCACTACTCCTCTCCAGCCCCGCTTCTCGCGCATTCCTGAGCGGGGAAGTCGGGAGGTTACTGCAGCTGCTATCGCCTATTTCTCGGCACGCGGTTAGTCGGGCGTCCTTGGAGGTGAGTGTGCAGTGGGTCTTTGACCGATTCCGCTTCATAATCTCTTTACCCTCTATTTTCCATGTTTCAAATGACAGTGTTTCAAATTTTCCTGAATTTGGGCCATGAAAGGCGCGAAAAGGTATAGTCCATTCAAGATCTGTATGAAAATCGAGAAGGTAGTATCACGCGCTGCCAGGACTACGTCTGTTGTGTCGTGAGAGAGTATTGCCGGTCGTCGTAGATCGCCCGGCAATGTTCCATAGATGTAACAACGCGATTGCCAAGTATCGACCACAATGGTCGTTCGTTGAACTGGATCAGAACGCAGCAATTGCAATGATGCGTAATCACGGTTTATTGATAGCGCTAGAACGGGTTGATAGCTAGCAGGGAATCTTGAAAATATCGCACAAGCGGTGAGAATAGTTCGGGCCATAACACCGTTGAATCTTGCGGAAGTGATTGGTCAAGTGGAAGGCTTTCGATTTGATCTTTTTTTTCAAATAAGCCAAGTAGTCTGCCCTCATTTTTTAAGGACACTGTGTGCGACGGTAAGATAACGGATGGGGCTCATTGTATAATTCCAAACAGGGTACAGCATTACTTGGGAATTTTGGTCGAGCCCGTGCGACCCCCCCCTTTTTTTGGTGGGTTGAAAAAACAAAAACCTCTAAACAAACACTGAAAAGGGGAGTTTTTCACTGTTTGTTTTTTTAAGCTCGAGCTAGGCATACCTATATGACGGCTCTAAGTTGTAAAGGCATAAAGTGATACCACTCAAAGTTTGGAGGAATACCTGTCAAGCTTTTGTGAAGCAATGAATACGGGAATGTAGAAGAACTTAAATGTCAAACGTACATTTCACATCAGCGAGCGGTGAGCGGTCGCCTCGCGGTCATTGCGCTGGGCGCGCGTTATCTTCGCGATTGGGTTCGCGATACACGAGACATTCGTAGGAATAAGAACATCACTTGATTTGGAGGAAATGATACAATCGAGATCTACGAACCCCTGAAACATACTTCAGACCAGGGAATTTTGCAGGACTTCCTTCTACTTTCCTGGAATCTCAGAATTTCCTCCCACAAACACTTGTATACCCACGTTTTAACCGATCAGTTTATCCTCGAATTCAAGGGAATTGCGATCACACCCGAACTCGTTTAGGGAGCCACATCACGAATGTCTATGTTACAACACAATACTGATTTCCTGGAGCTTGTACATACTTAAAATGTACCGATGTTGAACAGCAATCCTATTGTACCCACTCACTTGCTCTAGCAATGGTGTTTCTAGGATTCTTGTTATCACATAGAGATAAAGATATATTTGGTCATCTTGCATTCAGTACTAAGGTGAACTACCACGTACCTCCTTTGTCAGCACTTCACCCTTCTGAAGTACTCATTAACCCTGTAATGTTTAAGCTCATGAAGAATCCTAAAAACTCAGAAAAAACCGACATGAGGTCCCGTACGACAGGGGCTGTAAAATCCGTGTACGGTTCTTATTGTATAGCTACGTGAGTGGTCTATGATTGTACCTCATGACTCCATGAATGGTCTACGAACGGAGAAAGGAACATATGTGACACTATTCATTCACGTTCTGAATATCAAACACTGCATGCTTCAACTTCAATTTCATGTGTAGTACTTCATTCATCTTCCAACAAATCAAGCACTGCATGTTTCAACTTCTAATTTTCATGCGAAGCTCCTCATTCATACGAAGTTTCTCATTCACCTTCGAAGGATCAAACGTGCATGTGTTTTCATGTGGAGCTAAAATGTCTCACACAGCATGTTTCAAAATCTAGTTCTCTTGATCTTCTTGAATTATATCCTGAAAAAGACACATGTTTCCCTAATACAGTGAATATTGAATAGGACTTAATTTCTTGTTACGTATGAGGCTCCAACTCACATCTGAGCCTCTATAATGCGCGATTTCGAGGAATCCTGCCCCACAGCAGGTACAATCTCGTGTGCTTATGCACACCAGATGAACCCACGTGAGACAGTTGTCACATTGGAGCCAGTCGATTGGTGCTTCCAGGGTGTCGGCGGACTTTACGGGCGGTTCCCGTTTGTCACAAACAGCACAAAGATCTAATTCATCGTCGTCCTCTATATCTTCAGCAATCAGAGGCGGAATACCATGCTTCTTCTTTGCGATTCGCAGCTCAGTCCTCTGAAACACGCGTTTGCCTTTATTGTTCAACAGAGGCAAAGAAGTATTCTTGTAATAAGCCATTTTTTGGGAGGGTAGCGTAACATGACCACGATGTGACAGTGAGGCGCTCGTGCATTTCTTTCCAAACCTAAACGGCTGGTTTTTTTTTGCTCTTTATTTGGTCTCTCCAGCTAAAGTCACCATTGTGGACTCCCCTCTGCAAGAACCGAAACAAGAACAGATCGGATTCCTGGCCATATACACCCAACACGCATCGTTCCGATTTCTCGTGTTTTTAGCCCGCAGGCTTGGTAAACCGGCCTCTCCTCGGGTCCTTCCTGACCCAGAACTTGCGAAAAGGGAATTCCCCAAAGATAACCCCTGGATACCCCTAAGCAAACTACAAAGCTTCCAGAATCAAACCTTAGCATCTAATAGGTCTGATTCTACTTAAGAAATAAAACAAAGAATAAAATCAAGCAGTGTGGATTAAACAGTATGTGCTAAATGACGTAAAAGTTTCATCTCAGACATAGATCTTTCTAACCATTTGATGTCACCTGCTTTAGGAGTTGTGTCTTGAATCCAGGTAGGATGAGCATACTGAAAAAATGATTTATCAGCAACTCCATTCCCATGAATTGAGTTCAAGGCAACTATCCTGGAAGCCAACAACATTTTCCATTCTTTCCGTAATCTTCCCAATCCTGGACCTTGATACTCACGAGGTCTGATAATTTCCACATCGAAGAAATTCCTGATCCGGACATTACTAGGAAAGTTCGTCGCCACTCCAAATAAGCATTGATTGACTACTTCTACAGCATCATTCCCCAAGAGCCATGGTTGCACATCGAATGTCGGGTTTTTCCTAAGTCCCTCAAGACGCAATGTTGGTCTGGTAGAACTTAATAAAGCCAAGGCCACTAAACGTATTTCCAAAAGATGGGGATAAGTGATAAGTAGTTGAAATCCCGTTGCTCTAGCCCATGCTTCTTCAGTCTCAAGAGATGGTGGAAAATCCAACATTATACGAGCTTTAGCTAGGATCTCTCCACAAGACCGAACAGGCATTCTTCTCTTAACTCCGGCAAATTCCACATTTATATAATAATGAGAACAAAAAGGGACAGAGTCAAGATTCGGATATATCCGTGAAGATATTGATGTTGCCATGTCCTTCCGTGGTTTCCCAACAGCTGCATGAATTTCAGCAGAGATCTTGGACAACCCTTGGGCCATGTACTGTTTGACTCCTATCACAGAGTCATCACCACTTATCAGAGCCATCCAATCCTGCGCTAATCCGGTGTCGAGTCTCGATCTTTGTTTCAGTAGAGTTCTCTTAGTCCAATCTTCCCATTCTTCATCAGGAACCCCTAGTGTTTTAGCCACTTTATAATATGTCAATATTGCGTTCGTTATAGTATTCATCGCGTATGTGACATTTTCTCCTGAACCTCTCTGACCTCGGACGGAAAATAAAGATCTTACGCATGGTTTATCACCAGGCTCATCAAAGTCTCTCTCTCTATCAATCATAACCCTTTTATTTGCATAGATACGATACAAAGCTGTTATCAGCTTCTTCTGTCTCTCATCTTGGGTTATTTCTTGGAGCATCCAATGTTCAATTCTCAGGTCACCAACTGAAATTCTCGTATCCCACGAGGCGACATCATCTGCCAAAAAACACTCACATCCTTGAAACGCTAGCTCCATTAATGGACCATAATCATACAGTGGAAAACCCGAGACAGAAAAAGGAAATTCCTTAAGTATCTCCATCAAAAAACCCAAGTTTTCAAGTTCCACTAAGCGCATCGTTGCAGGCAAATACCATATTAGTCTTGAACCTTTGAAACCAGAGATTTTCTTCTTTTCCTTCTTCCCCATACTATTGAAAAAACCAAGATCCGTGTATCCTTGTAAAAGATCTTCTGCAACTTCTTTTTTCCTTTTCCTCCAGAGGCCACTGTCTAGATAATCACCCATACTAGTGGCTAACATTCTCTCCTGCAAACCCATTCCTGATTTACGATTAGCAAGAGAGACTATTTCATCTGGTCTTAAGATACGCATACGGGCTCCTCTCAATTTTAGAAATTGTACCATCCCTCTTGCTATAGAAAGCAACGCAGGATAATGATCATGGTTTTCCACTGGAGACACATCAACTTTCCTAGCAACCATCTTGAAGGTTTCACGGGCTGTTGTATCTGTGACGCTCCACATGGAAAAATCTGGAACCACTCCTTCTTGAACTAGTTCTCTCATAAGAAAAGTTGAATACATATTGATTTTCGACCCAGACATCCCTTGATATCCCGAAAAAGATCTATGTGTTTCTCGAAGAAACACCATAGGCTTTGGATTTTCAACAGGCTCTAGATCATCAAGCAAATGGAATCCTGGAGAGGTGTCTAATTCAGGAAGGTCAGGAATTTCTTCTAACCCTTCATGTTCTAGATCACTCCAAGGTTGTTCTTTCCTAGGAGCTGGTTCTCCACGAATATTTGCCATTTTAGAAAAAGGGAGTGACATATTATCCAACAGCACAGCATAATGGGAGTTAATCCATTTATCAAGATTCAACTGAAGAGAGTTACTGACTAAGTAACACTCCGCAGTCGTATATCTACAGCGTCTTGGTCTCACGAGACATCCTTTCGCTGTTATCTGTTGCACATCTCGGATAAACTTCTTCACTCCTTCTGATCCTGGTGTCAAGATTTTTATCACGAAGTTAGCTCGTGGATTCTTCCTGATCCAGGAAAGAATACCATACGGTCTCTCCTCAAGAAGTCTTTCAAACCTCTGAATCTCCTCATTCATTTTGCATGAATTTAGTAAGTAGCATCGAAGTTAAACGAAGACATTCACGAAAAGTAAAAAAAATTGCGAAAAGAAAGAAGAAACAAGTTCTTTAAGAGAGTTTCATGCTGAATTCATACAGAATGTAATCTTATTCCAGTAAACATACTCACCTCTAAAATTGAAACCGAAACTAGAACAATTTCAGCTTTTACAAGCTGAATATTGCAGAAAAACAACAAAAATTATGGCAGAAATCAGCTGATTGTAGCGTCAGCAACCATCGATCGGCGGAGTTCAGATGGAAGAGTGAGAAGAGGGCGCGGCGGGGTGTGTTAGAGCGCAGAGTCAGTGTCAGAGACGCAGGGGCAATGATGATGATTTCCTGGAATTTCTCGGCTTTCCATCGTCACGCAATCACCGGGACGGGAACGCACCCGACCCGGCCCCCCCCGCACGTGGGTCGCAGGGTAACGCCCACCCCACGTCAACTGTGGAGAGAGCTCACACTGTACAAACGCTTCTTCCCCCACTTCAAAGCGCTCCAAGCAACTGAGCGGACGCGTCCGCCACCTCTCCGCTACATGTGAAACTCGTCACGTTTGACATTTAGTTCTTCTGGAATGTGAAGTGGGCGAATGTGCGAATCACGCTCCTCCCACCCACAATTCACGGCTTCGACAACTATGAGCGAAACTGATGGATAGTACAACATAACGTCGATTTAAGAAACACAACGCGGAAATTGGAGAGAAATACAGAAATTCCGAAATGGCGAACAACGCCTTGAAACGCATTAAACACTTCGCCGACCACTGAGAGAATCTCTTCATTAGAAAACAAAAAAAAACAAAAAAAAACGAAAACAAAACAAAAAAGGGACGCAGGAACAGCCGCAATCAGCTGGAAAACGGCCGAGGAATCGATTGGAAGGGATTCTGGCGCAGGACCAGCCCGTTGCAAGGTGGTTGAATTGGAGCGCGAGTTTTCAGGAAAACAGGATGTCGAGTGTAATAACTTTCTTGACCGTTGGGAAAATGGAAAACACAGTCGTGAAGAAAAAGAGTTGAGCTTTCCAAAACATACTGAAATGTTCATAAAGGTCGCCAAATTCATAGAGAAATTCGCGTTGGCGATTTATTGGGGGTGCACTTTTTGGGTAGTTTACAGTGCGACGAAACCAGCGTCGATGTCTAGAAGATTCTCTCTTTCCAAAAACTACTTGAACTATTTCTGAAGTTTCCGGGATTCATGAGATAATTGAGTTGGGATTTATTAGAGAGCACTTCGAGCTGCTCGAAAAATCCGTTTTCTGTGTACCGTTTCAAGCGAGCGTACTCGGATATCCAGGAATGCATCTGGAATGCATCCCTTCGTGGAATAGGAGCAAGCAGTAGGTGTTTTAGCGCCCATTAGCTTCATTTGTGGATGCGCCATGCCTAGGCTCCCACGCAGGAGGGATGGTGCAGTTCCACGCAGTGCCTGTCTACACGAGCAGATGTGTTTACAGGATTCAGAGAGTGCCATGGTCAACCTACGTACTTCCTAACAGTGTTGTCCGTTGCGGATGATAGGGCGTGTCCGTGTCCGACGCCCCAGATCTGTGCTCCGCCAATTGCTGACTCTGATAAAGGAGACCAACAGCTGGAAAACGTCTGATACGAACGGATACGAACGATATGGTAGTCCTGTCGTTTGTCGTAAGAAAAAAACAGGTTGGCTCAGCGCCAAGCGCGGTCGCTCGGACACGCCCCATCATCCGCAGCGGACCAGGGTATGAGTTGTACTGTTTAGCCATATACCTACTTACGAGATGATGTCGACTTATTAATATTTCCAGTTAATTTCTGATTAGTTTAATCAAAGAAAGTTTTGTACTTTTTTTTACATATCCGGATTCTCTACAAAGCAAGTTTCGCTACACAGGACTCAGCACACTGACACCTTTGCGCTGCTCGTTACTGGCTACCGCACTCATTACGACCCTCTCCCAGCGGCCAAATACGACCCGCTGTTGGGGAATCCCCAACAATGATGTGCCCTGACTCCAAAGTGTACAGTGGTACGCTTTTGAGTTCCTCGGATAAATTCCTCTGCTCACACCGTACATACAGTCATGTTCTCTGCCAGCGACAAAACGTAGGACAGCGGCGCGGCATGGAGCGAAAGCAGAGCACATTTTCTATTAACTGCAGAGGGCTTAGAATGGCTACATTATTGACACAAGATATGACAACTGCTCTAGCTTCCAGACCTTCCGCTGACACGATCGAGCTGCCGAGTGGAGGGGGTGTATAGCACATATCAAACACAGAAAATATCGCAACAAGTCAAAAATCGGGAGAAATTCTACTCAACGTCGCGCGCCGTTTCTTTCAGAATGCAAGTACGACCCACCCCCCTCCCTCTTCCCCAGCGACCAAATACGACCTCCCCCTCTGTTGGGGAATCCCCAACGATGATGTGCCCTGGCTTCAAATTTGGAGTATGTACCTTGCTGTATAGGTTCGGTCCTTTAGAGTTTCTTTTTCATTATTATTTGTTTTTTCTTGTTCCTGCCATTAGAGGAGCCTGGTGCCAGCTGCAGTGACGCAAGTGAAGGTGTGGTCAATTGTCGCGCCTGTCGCGATCGACAGGAAAAGCACGAAATTTCAACGACACCAGAAACCTGGCATTGAAGAGGAACCACTGCGATATGATTGAGAACCATCTGCTTTACCACCTTTTTCACTCCGTTGTCGCTGAGAAGCGTGCCTTCACTTTCGGGGCTTTTGTAATGTGTTTTTGGGACACAGGAAGTCTTTTCATGCTTGATCGCTGTTAAGTTCAATGTTTCGGTGCGACTGCAAACTGAACCTATTAGGGCCCATAGAAAGTGGGATGGATCAAAGGAGGGTGGGGAGGAAGATTTCACTAAGCAACAGACAGGAACAATTTCTAGCAGGAGTCTTGAATCTGAAAATCTGAGTTCTTGAATACAAACTGCACACTCACTCTCAGGGACAAGTTGTCCGTGCACCTTGGAGTGGAGAAAGTAGCACGCTACTGCAGTCCATTCGCCCTGGCGTGTGCAGGGCGCCGCCAAGGCGAGTGGATTGCAGTAGCGGGGCTTTAAAATAGATGTTGCCAAGTGCCGTCTCCTGCTCCCCGGCGCCATCCGCGACGTGCGGACGTTTGCAGTCCACGACAGCGAAGCACATAGCTTTAGAAGAGATGACGCAACGCAAAAGTGGAGAGGCGCGCGGCAAGTGGCTTGTTAGGTAGGGCCAGGCGCCTGGCTGACTGTGCGGTAGCGCAGGTAGGCCATCGCGTTGTGATAAACTCCTGCGAAATACGAACCTCCCCCCACCATCCTTTGGTACGACCCCCCTCATTAACCTACTTCCCACTTTCCTCCTCCCAAAATTTTGCCGTCGAGCGGGGGAGAGGGGGAGGGAAACGTCGTCAGGATACTATTTTCAATTATCGGAAATAGTAGTTGTATGAATCAATCTTTGGCAGTGCAGCCAACTAGGGGAGCTGTAGGGGGAGGGAATATATAACACCAGTGAAACGGGAAACAGGGCAAAAAGTCAACAACCAGGAACAGTTCCTTCCCAACGCCGCTAATTCTTCTCAAAGATAAATATGAGTCCCCCTCTCAACAACGAGCTAATACGACCCCTCCCCCTCCCCTTTGCAGCTTCCGTGAAACAAGGGAAATCGACTACCAAAAGACCTTTTCTTCAAATACGACCCTGTCCCCCCCAAGCTATACACTCACCACGAAGGTGACTGTATATTTTTTTGTCTTTGAGACCATCTCCCTCTAATTGCCTTCTAAGGGGTTCAGTTCTTAGTGAGTGCCGCAGCAATGGTCGCTAGTGTCCTTCTTCTGGTAGAAACAATTTCTGGTTCTAAATAATCTCATGTTTGGAACCAGAGTCATACAACGGTCATGTTTAGTTCATACAACGGACCGAAGCGAAGGATATGGCAACAAAATGTAGTGACGTGGACATTTCGTGATCCATTCCACCTATTAACCAATGAGAAGAGTCGGCGACTGGTCAGGTATGTATGATTGCTCTCTCATTTAATTGGGTTTTATTAATATATGGAAAATGTATTTTCTATTTTCGGCTCGGACCCCTGACTTCCTTTTTTTCTTAGACAGCGTTCAAAGTTTGCGATGACGCTCAATGCAATGACGCACAAGCGCTTTACAGTATTCAAATTAGGGTACAGCATCGTGAAGTGTGAAATGGTGGTGCCAGTACGACCCTCGCTCTTGAGGGAAGATCTTGGTACGACCCCTCCACACTTG